ATTTTTTATTTTTCAATTCGGGCGGATTTCTATATTGTCTTCCCGGTGGACCTCCAATGAAATCTTAGAGGACTTCTAAACATGAATCCAGTCTTTCTATTAGATTTCCTCACTATCCACTTGTTGAACTTCCTCACTAGTGGTTGATTAAATATCAAAATTACTTTTCTGTTGGTTCTCAAAAATCTTGGGTAGGGCAAAGGCCGCCAAGATACATTTTGATTCTAATTACATCATAACATACTCGACAACCACGATGTCGACACTCCAAAAGATGAGAAAGATTAAAAACGACGATAAAATGGAGATTATTGAGGCGGAAATAGATCATCTTGTTGAGGTTTGTGCACTCAAAGCTATATATTATTCTTTTAATATGTTTTCATTTTCCATGACATTATAGGATTTTAAAAGATACAAAGAATGAACCCTTACTATAAGGGGTTTGAAATATGAGTGAAAGCCAACCTACGACTTAATCCTCTTAAAAGTGTTGATGTTTAAAGATAATCAACTCATGCATGAGTGGGAGGATTGCCTCAGGAGGGTATGTGTCCTAACAAGGGATTAACCATCTATATTTATTTGGGGTAAATTAGTTTGGAGGCTTTTCTGTCGCAAGAAGATGAGAAGCTAGTGTCACTAATCCGAATGGTGGTCCCTCTCCCCTGAAGCACATGATCCTCTAAAAGATATTAATTTGGAAGAGAATAATCTTTAAGATTGGTGGAGAAATCTCCGGTTGGGTTATCGTCTTGCATAAATTGTGATCTTGGTGCAGAAGGAAATGTTAAGTGAAATGAAATGAAAGATGCGGACTTAAGACTGGAGAATAAGAAAAAAAAGTTATGAAGGTAAGACAACTAAAAGTTGGATCATCAAGTGGTACTAGATGTAAGAGTGTACACAAAGCTACTCTGTCGAGTCCATAAGCGGCGAAAACAATATTAATATAAGTTTTTAAGAATAGTGAAAATAAATCATGCTCTCAATAAGGTTTCTTGGCATTCCGTTCCGCCTCTAGAAGATGATCCAATGATAAACTTCTTTAAGGAAAATGACAAAAATATTGGATGTTCTTGAAAGTCCAATTCATCCAAATATTTTTATCGGAGACATATTGTTGGACTTAAAAAATAAGTGTAGGAAAAAATGGTTGAAGTTGGCCCAATGAGAAGTAATAATTTGTCCAATGGTAAAGAGAAGAATCATGCATCTGAGGGGTCCAAATTATTGATGGATGGAAGACAATATCAGAACTAGAAAACAAGGGGACAACAATAGTTGAAGAGGTTCTTATAAAAAAAAAAAAATACAATATTTGAAGAGGTTATAGTAGTGGAAATTACATGAAATACAAAAAAAAAAGATTATGATGGAACCAAGAAGAGTTTTAATGGAGGGGGAGTAATGGCGGAGATTACATGGGAGTTACTCAAGGGGCAATAATGTAACTTGAAGAAACATTGATGAAAAGGAAATTGATAATGAAGTTACAAGGAAAGTTAACAAAGTTTTAAAAAGGGAAAATAATGAAATAATGAAGTAAGTGATCGATTGTTGAAATGACTAAATGAAAGAGAAGTGGAACACCCAGATACACCCAAAATTCAATCCTCTTGTATTTTTTTATTTTTATAATTTTTTGTTTATTTGTTTATTTTCTTATTTCTTATTTTCATCCCGTTTTTGTTGAATCCCTCCATCTTTACTTGCATTTCTTCCATCTTTTAAGTTGATTTTACTTTATTTTTGTTAGTATTTTTATTCAATGCAAGACTACCACAAAAGTTTTCTTGAGTTAGGCCTATAACACACTGGCCGTTCGGAAGAGAAAATTCGGGTACAATATTTGTATTGAACTACTAATTTTTTAAGAAAAGTATATATAGTAAATATATTGTAGTTTTTGGTAATGTTAATTGAAAATCGTGTCACCAAAAAATTATGGGTAATTAAAAAACTTGAAATTTTAATTTAAAATACTAATTTTTTTTTGGTATTTGATACTATTTTTGTGAGAGTAAATATATATTTGATGAAATAGTTTTTAAAAATTTAGTAATCCCGAATTTGATGAAGTATTTTTGTAAACTAATTAAGCTAATATCCGATGTTACTATATATATAATGGCGGCGGTTAGAGGACTGATATGCTCAATTCATAATCGTGCTGATTTGACCAAATTAGCAAACTAGCCTGAAATAATTAGTAAATTATCACACTACATATATCACTACCAAAAAAATGTCATTTTCTAGCGAAATTGAATCCGCTGCAATAGTTTCGTCACAAAAAGTGTCTTTTCTTACACTTTTTGTCGGAACAAAAACAAATTTGTATTGGTCAACCTTTTTTCTTATTTCTTTTGATAGTTTATCCGTAACAATTACAAATATAACGAGACGTAGTTCTATATATGTTTGTTACGTATTTGAAACCGTAACAAAAAGTTAGTATTATAATTATAAATAAAGATTTAAAAAATTATATAAAATTATTTTTAAAAAATAATTAAAAAATAATAAAAATTTAAAATCGTTTTAAAACTTTCCCAACGTACGTATATTTTACCCAATACAAAATTCACCTTCTATTTCCATTTTCACTAAATCAAGTCCCGATCTGCAAGGAAGATCTGGTCGACATCCTCTGCTCTATCCATCATCGGTTCGAAGCTCGTCATTATTGATGGTGTGAATCTTCCTGGTCGCGGTGCTATTTTCACGAAATTGAAAATTTAGTTAAAACCTAGGTATTCTTTGGTGTAGCTATGAAAATCGATTTTTAGGTTTTGAGTGTTCTGGGTTTTTGATAATCTTGTTCACATATTTAATGGGTAAATAGCAAGTTTAGACAAATGTCACCTGAAGCTTTCCTTAACCACTGCTTTTCATTTTGTCCATCCACAGGGCTGGGGTTTAGAACCAAAACTTGTGTTCAATTTATGTTCATACCTTATTTGGGGAAAAAGACAATGAATCAGAGAATAATTAATTTGTGAATTTTTATTTGGATTTGTGTTTGGAGATGTATTTGGGTTTAACTGTGACCACTAATGATATGTGCTATATATGATAATAGTTTGCTATATTTTGGGCAACTTCTTGATGCGGAATTTTGTATATATGCTCCTCATGGTGTGTTTTTGATTGCGTAATAGGTTTCATGGAGTTGGCAAGTTTTGGGGTGCATTTGAGAGATAATGAGCATAACGCACGAAGGCTTTAGGCGTAATTGCCCAACACAATGTGGGAAATGAGGAATTTAAAAAAGGCCCTGCGGGGTAAATTGACAATATAAAGAGTATTTGAGATTTAATTGCGAAAGAGATCTATTTAAAAGGGGATCTTGGGATGAAGAATCAAGAGACATACGATTTACAATTGAAGAGGGGAAGAGAAGAGGATCACCACGTTCTACCACAACATCATTTTTCTTGAAAGGGAAAAAAAGAGCAAGGAAGAGAGAAGAACTTGGAAGAGGATTGCAGACGACCTTATCTATTCTTGTATTGTCCTTCCTTATCTATTTCATTGAAGGCATGATAAACTTTTTCAATTGTTTTGTGTTTTTAATTTCTATGAATTCCGAGTAATTTCATTTTTAGCGTAGGTGTGAATTGATGTTTGGGATTGAATTTGTGAGACTTGATTTTGTTTAATTTCATGTTCATCGATATTGGGTATATATAATTCTTCTAATTTATAAGTTTAGAAATCTTATATTGATTATTGCGCACATATTGATTTAAGATTTCGTAGCTAAATTGGAGATTGACACCCGTAATTGTGTAATTTTCCAATTGGTGTAGCAACCTAAAGAAGTACTTTAGGAAAGAATTATAATTAATTTTAAACAAATTTGTGTAGGAATTTTATTAAATTGAATTGGTCCTTTCTAGTACTTAAAGCTGTCGAGTCAGTAAAACTACGGTCGTACCTAGGATTCTCACTCGATTAGGGAAATAGCTAACGGTCGTACCTTAGCTATCAACAAAGTTAGGAAAGGTTGGTTGTGAATACGTGTAGATAAACTATAAAAAATTTATCCAACTAGTCAATGAACTTGATTTTTAGTCGATGAACAAAATTTATACCTCGAACAGAAAATTCTTGTCTATGCTAGAGTTCAATCATCTTTGGTAATCTGCCTTGCATTTTATTTTATTTTATTTAGTTGAGCGAATTTATTTTCTTCTTATTTAGTGTGATAGATCAAAACCCCCCAATTATATATATATATTAGTATAATTATATTCGACCAAGTGTTCAAATCATTTATGTTCCCGGCGGAGATGACCCTACTCACGAACTACTGCATTTTCAAAATTTTTTGTGGCGTAGGAACTGATACTTTATTTTTCAGCTGTGCGACACGTATGCAATTTTGGCTCCGTTCCCGGGGAACAATTTAAGGATTTTTGATATTTGGTTGTTTCTTTTTTTTTAGCTTTAATTCTTGCTTAATGGTTTATGCCTCGAACTAGTCGTATACGTGAATTAGGTTTTTATTCAGAAATTGAAAGGACTGCACGCCGTTTGAGGAAAGAAGCTAGATAGCGAAAGAGGGTTGAAAAAGAGATTGAGCGCCGGCACCTGACTTAGCTACTCAACTGGCAGACAGTTCTAGTTCCGACTAGAGTGAAGAGGCCAAGGAAGTTGAAGAAGTTGTGATACATTCAATTGAACGACAGAGAACTTTAAGGGAGCTTGCTACTCCCGATTTAATTCAGCATCCCTTGTGTGTTACTTTTTCTGCTATAGTTGATAATATGGCATTTGAGCTTAAATCTGGACTAATACATTTATTTCCGTCTTTTCATGGCTTGGCAGGGGAGGAACCACACAAGCACTTGTAGGAGTTTGATGTGGTGTGTACGATGAAACCACCAGGAATCACTGAGGAGCAGATAAAACTCTGAGATTTTCCATTCTCCTTGAAAGATGCAACCAAAGATTGGTTGTTCAACTTGCTAGCCAGGAGTGTGACCACTTTGATGGATATGAAGCGCAAGTTCCTCGAAAGGTTCTTTTCTGTATCCTGGGCTGCGAATTTGCGAAAAGACATCTGTGGCATCAAACAAGGGTCAGGGGAGTCTTTATACGAGTATTGGAATCGATTTAATAAGTTAATTTCTAGATGTCCGCAACATCAGATTTCTGAGCAACTTATAATCCAATATTTCTATGAAGGACTAACTTCTATTGACATGAGGATAATCGATGCTGCTAGTGGAGGAGCTCTCATGAACAAGACTCCGAGAGAAGCTTGGGAATTGCTGAATGACATGGCTATGAACTCTCAACAATTTGGGCCAAGGGATGCCGTGGGAGTGAAAGAAGTTATCGGGGTAAGTTCTCCTACACAACAACAACTGAATGAGTCAACTGCTTATGTGAGAAAACTTGCAGTAGGGAACGCTCAAGTGAAACCATGTGGGATTTGTGCGAGTGTTGAGCATCATACAGATGCTTGTCCTACATTGACACGAGAGGTGGAAATGAATGTTGCAAGATTTGTACAAAGAAGAGCTTATGACCCTTATTCCAACACATACAATCCAGGATGGCGAGACCACCCCGATTTTCAATATAGAAATCAGAATCAGCAATCCTTTGGACAGTAGCAACCACCGGGATTCCAACCACCTATGCAGCAGCAGCAACAATGGACCATGCCCCAAGCTCCTAGTCCTGGTAACTCTTTGCATGATATAGTGAAATCAATTACCTCTAATTTTTTGCAATTTCAGCAAGAGACGAGAAATAGTATAAAAAGCTTGGAAGATCAGATGTCTCAAGTCGTGAAAGAAGTGCGTGAAATGAAAGAAAGGGAGAGAGGCAAGCTACCCGCTCAAACCCATATCAACCCGAAAAATGTTAGTTCAATGATCTTGCATAGTGGTAAGGAGTTGGAGGGTCCGAAGGTTGTTGCACAAAAAGAGAAAGCCGAAGAGGAGATTGAGAAGGAGATCGAGCAAGAAGCGAACAAGTTAACTGATTAGCTGAATTCTAAACCTCCTATTCAATCAAATTCTAATATTGCTTCATTTTCTCACAGGTTAGCAAAACTGGCTAAGAGTGGCAAGGACAAGGAGATCATGGAGATGTTTAAGAAAGTGCAGCTAAGCATTCCTTTGCTTGACGCAATTAAGCAAGTCCCCCATTATGCAAAATTCCTAAAGAAGCTGTGTACTAAGAAGAAAAAGTTGAGAGGGGATGAAAAGTTGCTAGCTGGAGAGATTGTGTCTGCGGTGTTGCAAAGGAAATTGCCACAAAAATATGGAGATCCATGTATGTTTGTAGTCCCTTGCAAAATAGGAAAGATGAATATTAAAAGAGCTATGCTAGATTTGGGTGCTGCTATAAATATTATGCATAAATCTATTTTTAACTCTTTGAACATAGAGCCTTAGAAAGAAACATGAATAGTGATTCAAATAATTGATAGAACTTACGCTTACCCCGAAGGGATAATTGAGGTTGTTCTTGTGCAAGTGAATGAGTTAATATTCCCTGTTGATTTCTATGTTTTAGATATGCATGATGAAAATTCTCCTAATCTTTCACCAATTTTGGTTGGATGCCCTTTTATGCACACACAAAATTGATGTTAGAACAGGGACACTTACCATGGAATTCGAAGGTGTAATGGTTCATATCAATATTTTTGATGAATCGAATGATCCCGTGGAACCTTACGTTTTGTATTGTGTAGATGTCCTTGATGAAAATGTGTAGGAAGTCTTTGAAGTTGGAGAAAAAAGAAAATTGCAATTGCAAGAGTTGGAGGAGATTCTATACAAGGCTTTCGAGAATGCTAGGATTTATAAAAGAGATAGTAAGAAAATTCATAATTCAAATATTTTGAGGAAAGATTTTAAGGTTGGCAAAAAGGTTTTGCTTCGTCATTCTCATCTTAATATTTTTCTGAGTAAGTTTCGTTCCCGTTGGAAAGGTCCATTTGTGGTTACTAATGTGTTTCCGTGTGGTGCAGTTAAGATATAAAGTTTGAGCACTGATAAAAAGCTTGTTGTGAATAAACATCGTCTTAAACTTTACTATGAGGGGTTCCAGAGTAAGAAAATGGAGTGCGTAGCTCTTTTTGAGCCGCGTGATTAGCTTAAGAGATGTCGTGTCGAGCCAACGACAAAAAACAAAGACGCTTCTTGGGAGGCAACCCAAGTGTTTTAATTTTATTTTGTGTGCTTTGAGTTTTGTTGTGTTTGTGAGTCAGCCTCGTGCCTTGATTTTTGGTTTTTTGATGAAGGTAACAAATTCATGGTTGTATGAGCAGAATGGACAAAGTTCTTAGGCGTGACCACACATCCAGTGTGTTGTGATTGATGAGAGGGAAAAATTTATAAAAAAATCAGAACGTAAAATTTTATTGGGCGTGCTCATGCCTAATCAAGCCTTACATTCTGAAATTGCACAAAAAGAGGGTTTACTTGGAATTGCTATATTTATTATTATTATAATAATTATTATTATTATTATTATTAAATTTAATATTACTATATTTCTATAATAATAATTATTATTATAGCTATTAAATCTTTTGTTTATTATATATATATATTTTTGTTTCTATATTTATTATTATTATAGTTACTATATTTATTTTTATTATTATTATATTTATTACTACGTCTATAATTATAATTATTATGATATTTATTACTATAATTATTAAATTTATTATTACTATATTTATTATTGTTTCTATAATTATAATTATTATTATAGTAATTAAATTTTATTTTTTTATTTCCATATTTATTACATATTTATTATTACTATTATGTTATTATTATTATTACTATATTTATTATTATTATTATTATAGTTATTATTATAATTATTATTATACCCTTTAAACTCTAATTCTTTTTTCTCTTTCCCCCACTCACTAACAATTAGCCGCATCCTCTCCTTCTTTCTCTCTCCCCGTTTCAATCGCAATCGCAGCTGCCCCGCCTTTTCTGAACCGCCGCCGGTCCGCGAACTCCCTCCACAACCGAGATTCTCCTTCGGATTGATTCTTCAGGGAGTTCTTCTTCTACTCTTAATCTATATTGCATTCTCTTGAGTAGCCTCTATCGATTATTGCCTAGATATTATATAAAATCAGTTGATGATGAAGAATTTTAATTTGGGCGATTTTTGTAGAGGTTCTTTGATGGAATCGATAAATGGATGCATATAGATTATTGGGAGAGATTATTGGGTGATTGAGATTTTCGACTAACATTTGAATGTTTCTTGTGAAATTGTTTTTGGTGTTGGAATTTATTGAGGAATTGTAATTTGATTGTGAATTATTTTGTGTAAAGGCGCGATGGGGAAGGTGCAAAAGTCGGATCCCTCCTACTGCCCCGACCAATGCGAGTCTTGGGTCTCTTTCTCAGTGGCCGGTCACCCCAACCTATTCCAGGAAAGTTTATTTTCTCTGCCCCTTTTGTTTAATCTTTATTTCTTGCAATAAGGACATTTCCTGAATTAGGTGTGGTGGGGAGATTAGAACTTTTGATGCAATATAATGCTTTATTTTGATAACTTCCCTACATGTCCTCTTGTGTATTTTGAGTCGAGGTTGTTGTGCTTACTTAGTTCATTAGGATCTTTCCGTGTTTGTTGATGAAGTTAGATGACGAATGTGTTTAGCGTTTTAACAAAGAACCCTTAAGTGAGTTATTTGGGCCTTATTTGAGCAAATTCACTCATACATATCATATATGCTCAATTTTTCTTGGATTGTGTGAACATATGTTGTATTTGACTACCTAGAACTTGCTTGCTTATGTTTATTTACTCCGCATTTCTTGAGAATTGATGGGATTAAAATGATAAGGCACTAGCCCGTGTTGGCCTTAATTTCATATCTTCACCTATATTATCCCTTAGTGAACCAAGTTTGAGCTTAATGTTATTATCTTATTTTTCTTGGTTTATATTTAACCCCAAGCCGATAAGCCCTTTTATTAGATTAAGCTAAACACTTACTTGAACCCATGGGAACTTGAGGAATTGTTCTTTGATTCATTACATTAGATTATTTAGAGTTGCATTCATTATACGATATTATTCCGAAGTTGTATTTGAGAGTATTCATATTGTGGCACGGTTATAAATTCATATATATTTTTTCCAAAAGTATCTCATTATCTAGCCCCTTAAAGAAAAAATAATGAAAAGGGGCTGAAAAAAGAAAAAAATGAAAGGAAAAAAATGAAATATTACGAGTCCTTAAAAAAAAAAGACTCGTGTAAAAGAAAGAAAGTATGTTCTTGTATTGCATTGATCATCACTTGTGAAATATTTTGTTGTTCTTGTTCATTCATATATGCGACTTGCACTCATTGTGATGTGATGAATTGATAGATTAATTACTCGGTCCCATTACCCGTTAATATCCTCTTTCCTACCCCAATCATGGCCCCATCACAACCTTTAATTAAGAACTTTGATATGAACGTTAATTTCTTGATGAATTGTGGAGTTGATTTGATTTGCTTGCAAGCCTATGTGATTCTTCATTTACTTCATGTGCATTGAGTGAATATAGCCTAAACACATGAGGATGAGAGCTTTACATTGTATACATTCCACATTTTGGTGAGGTTAGTTGGTTCTTTCATGCTTTGAATCTGATGTAATTGATGACACAACTAAGTGACTTTTGCGCTAGTGAGTATCTCAATTCTTGGTTTGGACATATGCTTGAGCACAAGCATGGAATAGGTGTGGGGGAATTGATATGTGCTATATATGATACTATTTTGCTATATTTTGGGCAACTCTTTTAATGCAGAATTTTGTATATATGCTATTCATGGTGTATTTTTGATTGCGTAATAGGTTTCATGGAGTTGACAAGTTTTGGGGTGTATTTGGGAGACAATGAGCATAACGCACGAAGACTGTAGGCGTGATCACATAACACAATGTGGGAAATGTGGAATTTGCAAAAAGGCCCTCCGAGGTAAATTGGCAATATAAAAAGTATTTGAGATTTAATTGCAAAGGGGATCTATTTAAAAGAGGATCTTGGGATAGAGAATCAAGAGACACATGATTTACAATTGAAGAGGGGAAGAGGAGGGGACTACCACATTTTACCACGACATTATTTTTCTTGAAGGGAAGAAAAAAGAGCACGGAAGAGAGGAGAACTTGGAAGAGGATTGCAGACGACTTTTCGGGGTGCTCTTCTATTATTGTATTGTTCTTCTTTATCTATTTCTAAAGAATTGAAGACATGATGAACTGTTTCAATTGTTTTATATTTTCAATTTCTATGAATTCTGAGTAATTTCATTTTTAGCGTAGGTGTGAATTGATGTTTGGGATTGAATTTGTGAGACTTGATTTTGTTTAATTTCGTGTTCATCGATATTGGGTATTTCTAATTCTTGTAATTTATAAGTTTAGAAATCTTAAATTGATTATTGCGCACATATTGATTTGAGATTTCGTAGCTAAGTTGGAGATTGACACCCGTAATTGTGTAATTTTCCAATTGGTGTAGCAACCTAGAGGAGTACTCTAGGGAAGAATTAGAATTAATTTTAAACAAATCCACGTAGGAATTTTGTTAAATTGGATTAGGCTTTTCTAGTACTTAAAGCTGTCAAGTCAATAAAACTACGGTTTTTTCCTAGGATTCTCACTCGATTAGGGAAATAGCTAACGGTCGTACCTTAGCTATCGACAAAGTTAGGAAAGGTTGATTGTGAACGCGTGTAGATAAACTATAACAAATTTATCCAACTAGTCAATGAACTTGATTTTTAGTCGATAAACAAAATTTATATCTCGAACAGAAAATTCATGTCTATGCTAGAGTTCAATCATCTTTGGTAATCAACCTTGAATTTTATTTTATTTTATTTAGTTGAGTGAATTTATTTTCTTCTTATTTAGTGTGATAAATCAAAACCCCCCCCATTATATATATATATTAGTATAACTATATTCAACCAAGTGTTCAAATCATTTATGTTTCCTGCGGACATGACTCTACTCACCGAACTACTGCATTTTCAAAACTTTTGTGGCGTAGGAAATGATACTTTATTTTGCAGCAGTGCGACACGCGTGCAATTTTGATAATATTTGGATTTTCACCATAATCTTAAATTTTGATATTGTGGAAACAGATTATTGAATCTGCACAGGGAAATTTCATTTGTACAACTTAGCTTTATGGTCCAAATTCTGAATAATGGCGTTGAATAATGGTATGATGGATAGTGCGCATTTTCTGAGGAAAAATAAACTTCTTGCGTGGATTAATTCCAGGCTTCAGCTTAATTTGAAGAGGTAAAGAATGAACTACAAAGACTTTAAAATCGAATTCATTTTCTTATGGTAGTTGGGGCTTTTTGCTATGATTTTATTTTTAGTTTATTTGACTGAATTTTCGATTGTCTGATGCTTTTTGATGTGGAAGGAATGTGGTGATCTTAGAGTCCGATGTGGTTGTTGATTCATTTATGAATATTGTTTTGATTTGCACTGGAATTGTTTGATTCCATGTTGTTCTACATGTATACCTTCTTATTATTTTTTATTCATTCTTTTGACCATTAGAAGTTAGTTACATATATGCTGCTTTTATTCTTATATTGAAATCAATTCTATTCATCAAATATTTGGCTATCTTAGATAGAAATTGTTAGAATTTTGAACATTTGGAAACTTTTTATATTTAATGTGATGTTTTGTGAAAAGAGATAGTCATTTCATAGAGATAAAGTTAATGTTTACGAATAGCGTCAAAATTAAAATAAATGTGTATGTAAACATAGCAAAGTTAGGTTGCTGGCCATATTTTGACAGCCTTTGTATCTTGGAATAACCATAGAAGAACTATGATCGTGATAATGTTTCCATTCATCTAGAGGCTTAAGGAAAAATCAGATGAGAAAACCAATTCCATATTGCTAAAGCGGTGTACTATTTACGCATATGTTAATGGTGATCTCACATTGTGCCATAACACATTTTCAATTGCAGCGAAAAAGATTTGCATTCTAAGTATTTACAGAGTTGCTAGAATTGAGGAATACTAATTTATTTCTTTATTTATTTTGTTGGGGTGATTTAATAAAGTAAGATAAATTATTGATGTGTGACAACACCCTGATTGTAAAGTTTGTATTCTTGTCCTGGGAATGGGAGAGAGACAACTCTTATACCATTTCCATATTTTTACTACACTAGGAGTAAGGGACTGCACAAAATAATTGTAGTAGTAAGAAAGTAGAAGTTCAAAAATTCAAAAGTTGTTCACCAATTAGAAATAAAATCAAAAAAATATAGATGATAGGTGGTACATAAATGTCAACTCTCAATAGGGACACCAACATGCTTGCCTTCTGTTGTTGCTTTTACTATTAGAATGTAATCTCACAACTCACCCGTATTCATACCATACAACTTTCAAATTTGGATTTAATTTTCATTTGCTTTTACATTTCAAGTGACTAATGTCTTTCGTTTCTTGTGCTTTTTCAATGGCAGCAAACTCTAAAAGAGCTATGTTTTTTCATGATAAGACCATTGTTGATAAGGACATATATGAGCCTTTTCCTAAGCCAATGATCTTCATTAACTTATTGTTGCATGTTATATCTATTGTTGTTCATTCAGGTCTCTTAGATGTACTTTCCCAAATCAGCACACTATATTAGGGCCACAAATTATCGATTATAGACAACAAATAAATATTATAAATATGTTTGAGTTATTATAGTTGATATGCATTCAACTTGCATTTCAATATCTCAAATTTTAAGTAATTTTGTACATTTAAGGATGATCAGCAAATTGGCATTTTTTTTTGTGTGTGTTAAGGTGTTTTTCTTTCGTATAATAACCATTGCATGCTCATCCTTTTTACTCTGCAGGTTGATCTCTAAAGGTAATTGGTTTATACAAGAGAAGAGCTGTAAAATACTTTTTTTTTTAATAGCGAGGTATGTCTCTCTATTTATATCTTATTAGTTAGATATGATTTACATACCATTCTTGTTTCTACATTTCCAGTGGAAGACCCAAAGCTCATGATGGTGCCATTGCTAATGAGGCATCAGGTTCAAAGAAGAAGATCAAACTATAGATGATGTTTTGAAACGATTGGTTGAATGTTTATGTTCATAGGTTTGTTTTTGTGCTCTTAAATGTATTAGTTCTCTTCTATGAGATCAGAAATGGCATATTGTATTTATATTCTAAAGTTCAAAGGAGGCTTATATATGGTCTTATTTTCTTGTATAGTTTTAGTTTTACTAGAACCAAGTGAAGTTCAAGTGAGGCTTATATATGGTGTTATTTTCTTGTATGGTATTAGTTTTACTAGAACCGAGACCTCAAAGGCTTCATTTGACAGAACGTACTATTGAATTTCTTAGAAAATAAAGATCAAGAAATATATGTTCTCTAGAGCATTGGTAACTACTTATTGATGAACATTTAATGCCATGCCCCTTTGTTGATCATGTTATGATGCAAAATCTTGTGCCCAAATAACCAATGTGCATGGGATAAATCAAACCGTAGCCACCACTATTGCACATGTTTTTGTATCATGGTGTTTGATTGTAAGTAGCAATTAAACACATAAATAATGAACTCATTTGTTCTTGTATGGCTACTTCTAGGTGCTTTCCACAGTTGATTGAAGTGGTTAAAGGTTCCACGAAGGAAAAAGTAAGCTATAGTGTTTGTTATGGTGAACTTATAGTTTTAAGGTTGTTTTTTTCATGGTTCAATTTAATTAAAAAAAATCTCCCAATCTTGAAAGACTTTTGATATCAGCTGTATTTTGAGTATGGACTATACATATTACTAATCTTCCACTGGGAACTGAATAACTTGAATGTTGAACTGCAGGTTGTTAGGGTGGTCATCTTAACTCTTATGAATTTGCAACACGAAGGACATTTGGTGCTCAGATCGTGGACCTTGGACTCCCACAGATAGTTCAGAACTTAACAGCTCGGGTATGGAGTGATGAGGTGAGTATTTATCTAGGGTTAGAGACTTATAATTGGTTATTTATCATTTCTTATAGAAAAATAAAAAACCCTATAAACAAGATATCTAAATATCCTTTAATTTGATGCTATTCCCATACCAATAAGGCTAGAAATGAATCAATTCTCTATTTTCTGTGAATGATTTCAAAATTTTGAGTTTTTGAATTGTCAGATGATAGCTTTTATGTATTCGGAGATCGAGCCTGTGATTAAGGATGTTGGATGGAATATCCTTTTTCTTACTACATCTTGGTTATATTTTTCAAATTTATGTCCACTTTTTTTCTTCTTTCTTTTTTATTTTTCTTCTTATCCTTCCCGTCTTCCTTATCATTTTCTTCTAAGTTGTGCTGCCATCTCTGAGATCGAGCCAGTGATTAAGGATGTCAGCTTTGCTTTTTAACTTTTATCGAAGTAGTGAGCAACGCCTAGTTAGATCATTTAGCTTATATTCCAGTTATGTATAGTGCTTGCCTTTGATAGAATTCCTTGTGGTTTCAACTCCTTGCTTGGTAAAGTCTTGATTGATCTATAAATTTTCTCTTGTTTTGGTTGCTTGACATAAAAGAAGGTTAATTATTGTAGTTGCTATTGAACTTTGATACAATTTGATTGCATGTTCATAGTATATATGCTTTGTTAATTTCTTACTAAGTGTGAGGAGAGATATTTGCTATTCCAAATTTTGTTGCTAACTTGAGAATTTTCAGGAGCCTAGGATGCTATCAATATGGTCGTTGTTATGGAGCCAGGGAAGTTCGCCTTATTGAATTTCTTGATTCCTTAACTTAATATTTCGTTGGTTTGTGTTCTTAACAATTATCCTAATGAGTCTTTGATATTTTTTACATGCATTTTGAATTGTTGTGTAATATATTGGTTTCCAGCTTGTTCTTATCTGCGATTAGTGTAGATTATGCTAGGCCTAACGATTGAGATGTGCTTTACTTAGGTTGATGTTGGAATTAGCTTTAGCTGCTGTCTTGCGCTGATTTTTTTTTCCTCTTTCGGTTAAATGGCCTTTTGGCTGCTGCTGGTTGCATTTTTCTTCGGGAAGAACTAAAATCTAGTAACGATTTGCTGTTTGGGTTAATTGTAGCTCGTCCTTGATGTTGGGCGAAGTTGTTCGAGGATGAACAAAATATAAGGGAAGTTTGTTGTGATTTCATCATTAATTTTATTTAAGTTAATTTGTTTCCGGGCTGCTTTTCTTAGTGTAATGTGAATTCCTGCTAGCATTAGCATTGCAATATGGGATTAGATTACTATGGTAGATTTTAAAGATAAGTTTAGTTTAGATTAGCTTACCTGTCGTTGTCTTCGTATATTACGATTCAGCTTTGTCATTTTAGCTTCAGTTTTAATCCTTAGCCTAGCTTAGCTATATATGTAATCAATACTATAATTGTCATGTTGTCTGCTGCTGTACTTTATGCAATTAATTGTTCCATGCATTGTAGGGAATTAGCCGCACCGAAAGAAGGTTAGAGATGCCGAGGAGTAAGGTCCATGAACCACTTATGATTAGTTTACATGAATATGTGATGGGGTTTTAAAGTAATATTTAAAATTCTGTAAATTAGCATGGTCTTTGCTTATACATCTTTAACCCATAAGAATGTTGTTAATAGTTGCAAACACTTTTATGTAGATTGGGTCTCGTGGCTTGAAAAAACATGGTGAGAGATCATGCTTTTCGTCCCCAACCTAGATTCGTTTGCATTTTTAATACGTAATAGCCATGAAATTTTAAGTTTTTGCATAATGTTTAATGTGTATTGTTGTTTGTATAATTGTGGGGCATAACACATATTTATCTACTGTATTTAGATTTCTTCCGTTACCCTTTGTTTGTGTGTTTATTTTATGCTTTCTTTCTAAGATTCACTTGTTTATATATTCATAATTTATTTCATAATTAAATTCCTATAGAACTTATTTATTAATTGCAGCTAGTTCGTCATATCCAAGTTCCCCCCTATACTTTTTTCCCTGCATAAGCATCCGCTTATCATGTATATGTTTGGACATGGATTGATGTCTTGCATATTTTCTATACTATGCCTTTCGGGCTTACTAGATTGATCATTTTGTGTATAAGTTTTTCCTTGTTTGCATTTTATGTAGTCCTATGTGTAGTTGACACGATTGTTAGCGTAACTGATTATGAGATATCTTCGAATTTGGTTGGATCATTCTCGTTTTATAGGTTTAATACTGATTTTCGGAGGGAATATGGAAAAACAAATTGTATATTAATTGTCATGAAATAGATGTTGTAACAAAAAATTATGTTAACTACAGGGCGGTATATTTTTTGTTGCAGAAAGATGTTACAAATATCGCTACAAAACAAATTGTGAATGCCAGAAAATATTTGCACTACATCATTTGTCATGATTATGTTTCGTTACAAATATAATTTTATTTTTGTCTCAAATAAGAAACCATAACAAATACCGTTACAAAAAAATAATGTAATTGTTAGAAAATATTTGGACCGCATTATTTGTTACGGCTATTTTTCGTTACAAAAAGAATTCTAGTTTTTGTCACGCACAAAAAACCGCAACGAAAAGCCTCCTCACGCGCGTTGACCACCAATTTTTTGTTACGACATTTGTTGCGAGACAAACCTTCCGTTACTCGAGTAAATATACCGACACAAATCCGCAACAAAATCGTCAAAAATAGCTTTGTTACAAAAAATGGGCATTTGTAGCGAATTCAAACCGCTAGAAATAGTCATTTTTTTAGTAGTGTATGATATTACCAAGTTAAGACATTATAGTTTGACAAAATTTGCTAGCCTCGTCAAAGCTGCAAAATAAAGTATCAGTTCCTACACCACAAAAAAAACTTGCAAAATGCAGTGGTTCGGTGAGTAGGGTCGTCTCCGCAGGGAACAATAATAATATTGAATATTCGGTTATCTAAAATTATACTATATACATATAATGGGGGGGGGGATGAATTCATCACACTAAAATAAGAGAAAATAAATTCGCTCAACTAAATAAAATAAAATAAAATGCACGGTAGATTACCAAAATGATTAAACTCTAACATAGGCATGAATTTTTCATTTGGGATATGAAATTTGATCATCGACTAAAAGTCAAATTCATCGACTAGTTGGATAAATTGGTTAAAGTTGATCTACACGCGTTCACAACCAACCTTTCTTTACTTTTTCGATAGCTAAGGTACGACCGTTAGCTATTTCTCTAATCGGGAAAGAATCTTAGGTACGACCGTAGTTTTCTAACTCGACAGCAGTAAAAACTAGAAAGACCCAATTCAATTTAACAAGTTCCTACGAGGATTTGTCTAAAATTGATCTTAATTCTTCCCTAGAGTGTTCTTCTCTAGGTTGCTACACCAATTGGAAAATTACACAATTATGTATGCCAATCCCCAATATAGCTATGAAATCCTAAATTGATACGTGCGCAATAATCAATTCAAGATTTCTAAACTCATCAATTAGAAAAATTAAAAATACCCAACATCGATGAACACCAATTTTAATCGAAACCAAGTCTCACAATTTCAATCCCGAAAATCAATTCATACATACACTAGAAATTAAACTACTCGCAATCCATAGCAATTAAAAATATAAAATAAATCAAAGATTTCATCATGCCTTCACGTTTAAAAATCGACAACAAACCAATTCTAGAAATGAAGAAAAAGGGTGCCCGGAAGTTCTTCTGTGTTGCTCTCTAAAGTTCCCCTTTCCGTAGTGTTTTTCCTTCGCTTCTCTTCTCCTTCAGAAAAATGGGTTGTAGGTGAGATCGTGGTAGTGAACGTGGTAGTCCCCTCTCTTCTCCTCTTCAATTGAAAATCGTGTCTCTTCAAGTCCACCTAAGATCCCCTTTGCACTTTAAACCAAACAATTGTAAAATTGCTAATTAACCCCGGAGGACCTTTTTGCAATTTTCATTTTTTCTGCTTCGTGATCACGCTTAAGGACTTCTTGCGTTCTGCTTTTCTCTCCAATATGCCCAAAATTTTCCAACTCCTCAACGCCTAGTAGAAAGTTCAAAAACATATTATTAGGAGCATATATACAAAATTCGCATCCAAAAACCGTCTAAAATATAACAAAATATTTGTCTAATATCGTATATATCAACTCCCCCACACCTATCCCATGCTTGTCCTCAAGCATATATCCAAACTAAGAATTGAAATACTCACTAGCGCAAAAGTCACTCAACCATGCCGCCAACTACGTCGAATTCAAAGCATGCAAGAACCAACTAACCTCACTAAATGAGGAATGTATATAAGTAAAAGCTCTCATCCTCAAGTGTTTAGGCTATATTCACTCAATCCACATGAAGTAAACGACGAACCCCATAGGCTTGCAAGCAAATCAAATCAACTCCACAATTCATCAAGAAATCAATGTTCATAATCAAAGGTCTTAATAAAAGGGTTGTAATGGGGCTTTGGTTCGGGTAGGAAAAGGAATATTAGTGGCTAATGGGACCGAGGAATTAATCTATCAATTCATCACATCAAAATGAACGCAAGTCGCACACACGTATGATATAAGAACAACATAACAAGAACAACACAATACTTCCCAAGATTTGATCAATGCAAGACTACATCATACTCACTTTTCTTTTCACGAGTCCTTTTTTTGTTTTTTTTAGGACTCGGAATATTTTTTTTTCCTTTTTTTTTTTACACAACCTCCTTTTTTTTTAGTGTTTTTTTTAATAGGAGGTTGGTCAATGAAATACTTTTGGCAAAAACATATATAAATTTATAATTGTGCCACATATATGAGAATTTTCAAACGCAACTATCGAATAATATACTGATGATATGCAACTCTAAATAATCTAATGTAATGAATCAAAGAACAATCCCTCGAATTCCCATGGGTTCAAGTAAACATTCGGCTTATTCCAAGAAAAAGGCATATCGGCTCGGGTTAAATATAAACCAAGAAAAATAGGATAATAACATTAAGCTCAAACTTTGGTTCACTAGGGGATAATAGGGGTGGAAGTATAAAATTAAGGCCAACAAGGGTAAACCTAGTGCCTTATCATTATAATCCCATTAATTCTCAATAAACGCGGAGTCAATAAGCATAAGCAAGCAAGTTCTAGGTAGTCAAATACAACATATGTTCACACAATCAAAAAATATTTGAGCATATATGATATGTATGAGTGAATTTTCTCAAATAAGGCTCAAATAACTCACTTAAGGGTTCTTTGTTATAAGGTTAAGCACACTCGTCATCTAACTTCATCAACAAACATGGCAAGATCCTAATGAACTAAGTAAAGCACAACAATCTCAGCTCGACATACACAAGAGGACATGCAGGGAAGTATATCAAAATAAAGCATTATAGAGCATCAAAAGTTCTAATCTCCCCCCACACTTAATTGAGGCAATGTCCCTATTGCAAGAACAAAGATGAAATAAAAGAAAGGAGAAAAGAAACTTTCCTGGAATAGGTGGGGGCGACCGGCCCGCTTAGGACCGGTGACGGGCGCGCAAAAGCTTTTCAATGGAGTCTAACTGTCATTTTAGAGTCGCTTGTCCGGCTAAAATCTCATCAAGCTTGCCACGAAGGTCATTATTATCCTCCTTCAGTATTTTAACATAAGATGCCAACGCCTGTAAAGTAGAGCAAGTGGCAGAGCCCGCAAGAGCACCATCCTCAGTAGCAGTAGCGATAGGGAGTTCCTCTCGGTCATCATCAAACTGGACTACATCCCGATGGGACGGCCGATGCCACCGATTAACAAGGCGATATCCAGCATCATCTTTCACTACCATACCCATGCGGAACAATACCACCATATCCAAGTACTCGATTGGTCCCACTTTATGGAGGCGCCTCCTAGAAATAACAGAAGCATCAATACTAGGGAGAACACCCAAACTAATAGCAAGAGTAGTTATAAACGAGGCACCAATCAAATCTCTTTTTTTCTTAAAAACTTCACTAAACTGCACAGCCAACCAGTACCCAAGATTAACCCGAATGCCACTAGTCATGCACCATAGAAAGAAAAATTCAATTTTAGTAACAATACTGGAGGTACCCCTACGCCCGGATATAAATGAAGCAATGAAACGCTGAATATAACGAAGGGTGGGGTCCTTCAGTCTACGGGCAGACATATTTTTTTAAAACAAATTTTTCCATCCAAAGAAAATTCACTCCATAATTTCTCGACTGAAAGAGAAAAGGGCTCAACAAATGCACATGCAGCGGTACTGAAAGAATCATCCTCAAGCTCCTCGGAAGTCACAAAACCTAAATGTAAATTAAATTCTGTTAAAGAAAGCTTAAACACTTTACCAAGCAAACGGAATCTAATTCATCAGGTTGCATTACATCAAATTGTTTAGGCAAGTCCAACACAAATGTAGAGAAGAACCTGAGGGCAAGTTCAATGAAACCAAGTTGTTGATAAGTAAATAAAAAACTCCAACCAATGCTAGATATATAATAAAAAACAACATCTTTAATGCCTAACTTCTCAAGTGTTTCAACGTGAATGCACTTACCCGAGAAAATGCTCTTAGCGCACAAAAATTCGTACCTTGTCTGTTCCTCGGGTGTGAAAGAATGTAAATGGTCCCCAACTTGAGTTGAAGGCAACACTTGAACTGAGTTACCTTTTCGTGCCCGTGCATTGGTGGGTGCAGAAGTAGGAAAATCGACTGGAATTGTGGGCATTGTATTACCCGCATCTCTACCCTGCAACTGAGAAGATGTCCGTTCCCTCAATGCCTGTTCCTTTGTTCTTTTGCATCCTCTCGTCTTTGAAATAGTCGACGACCTCGTAGCTATTGGAACCTTTGCGGGAACCGAATCCGATGCCCGCAATTTAGTCATAATGCCTGCACGTCAAAAAATTCAACAACTAAATAACAAGTCCTCAATTAACCCCAACACCAAAAACAATTTCACAAAAACATTCAAACATTATTTGGCAATATCAATCACCCAATAATCGATATGCATCAATTTATCCATTGCATCAAACAACCTCTACGAAAATTGCCCAAATTTTAAAATTTTATATCATCAACTTATTTTATATCATATCTAGGCAATAATCGATAGAGGTTTCTCAAGAGAATGCGATTAAGAGTAAATGACTTCCCTGAAATTTTCACCGGTGACTCGCGGCTGATCGTCAGCGACAGCGTAGAACAACCGTATAGCAGTAGTTTGAGATTGGGAGCAGCGCACGACGGAGGAAACTGCTACTGGCAGGCGGCTTCAGCGCGTCGACTTGGCGAAGGAGGCGCGCTGGATTGGCTGACCGGAATCGGACAGATGGACAGCGGCTGGGCAACGGCTTAGGGGTGGCGAACTGCGACTTCACGGACCGACGTCTCGACTGGCGGAGGAGCAACGGCTGCGGCTTCTGCGAGAGAATAAGGGAATGAGGTTTGAATCGAGAGGGTGAGAGTAAAGAGAATAAAGAATTAGGGTTAATTGGGTGTAATAATAATAATAATAAATATAATAATAATAAAAATAATAATAATAATAATAATAATAAATATAGCAATAACGTATAACTATTATAGCAATATGGAAATGAAAAAAAATAATTAGGACTTTATTACTAAAAATAATAATTGAAATTATTGAAACAATAATAAATATAGTAATAAATATCATAATAATTATAATTATAGATATAGTAATAAATATAATAATAAAAATAAATATACTAACTATAATAAAAATAAATATAGAAACAAAATATATAAATAAATAAATAAAATTAAACAAAAAAATAATAATAATAATAATAAATATTTATAAAAATATAACGAGTATATATATATAAAAATAAAATAAAATTAATAGCTATTATAATATTTATTACAGAAATAAAAATAAATATAGTAATATTAAATTTAATAATAATAATAATAAATATAATAATAATTATAGTTTCCCCAAAAATAAATCCTCTTTGCACAATTTTTCAGAATATAAGACTTCATTAGGCGTGATCACGCCTAAAGAAGTTGTACTTTCTGATTTCTTTAAAAATTTCTCCCTCTCGTCAATCACAACACACTGGATGCGTGGCCACGCCTAAGAATCATTCCCATTCTGCTCCACTCAACCACAAAAATTTCACCTGTCATCAAAACACCAAAAACAAGGCATGAAATTGACTCCGAAACACAACAAAACTAAAAACACAAAATAAAATTAAAACACTTGGGTTGCCTCCCAAGAAGCGCCTTTGTTTATTGTCGTTGGCTCGACACAACATCTTTTAAGCTAGTCACGCGGCTCAAAGAGAACTACGCACTCCACTTCTTTGCTCTGGAACCCCTCATAGTAAAGTTTAAGACAATGCCCATTCACAACAAACCTCTTTTCCGTGCTTAGACTTTGAATCTCAACTGCACCATACCGAAAAACGTTATTAATAAAAAATGGACCTATCCATCGAGAGCGAAGCTTACCTGGAAACAATTTAAGTCGAGAATGATAGAGCAAAACTTTTTGGTCAACTTTGAATTCTTTCCTCAAAATATTATGATCATGAAATTTCTTACTTTTCTCTTTATAAATCATAGCATTCTCGTAAGCTTCGTTTCGAATCTCCTCAAACTCTTGCAACTGTAATTCATGTTACACTGTTTAATCGCCCAAAAAGCCCTATGTTCAAGTTCAACAGGTAAATGGCAAGCCTTACCAAAGACTAACCTGTAGGGCGACATCCCCAGTGGAGTTTTGTATGCAGTTCTGTATGCCCATAACGCATTCTCTAAGCGTAAACTCCAATCCTTCCTATCCGGCCTCACCATTTTCTCCAAAATGGGCTAATGCCCTTGATCTCAGCTAATGTCCATTCAATAGCCTCCTTGTGCTCTCTCAATATTCGGATCAACTTCTTCTCTTGACTAGGAGACAGTGCAGCAGATATGATCACCGGTAATGTCTCTCCAACTCCTAAAAAGGCATATTTCAAGTTCGAGGGCAATGGTTTCATCTCCAAAACCGGTGCCTGCACAACAGATGGCAACAACCCCTTATCAGATTTTGCTAAAACTGAATTAACAACAACATACCTTAATGGTTCATGCGGCAGAGATTGCAAAGCTAGAATCATTTGCACCACTTATGGGAAATTCATCCATATAGTTCATGTCCAAGCAGTTTGTGAGTGCAACCTCCAATTCATCCTTTCCAGTCAAGTCAAAGACTTCCTGCACATTTTGAGTAAGAAAATCTACACAACACAAAGTATTACGCTCCACAGGATATCCTATTGCATAAAAAATATTAAAATGAACTTTTACACCTTCGAACTCCATAGTCAGTGTCCCTGTTTTAACATCAATCTTTGTTTGTGAGGTGCACATAAAAGGCCGTCCAAGCAAAATGGGGGAGGGATTAGGTGAATTGTCATCATGCATATCTAGAACACAGAAATCAACAGGGAATATTAACTCATTCACTTGCATAAGAACATCCTCAATTATCCCTTCAGGGTAAGCATTGGTTCTATCGGCAAGTTGAATTATTATCCCCGTTTCTTTCAAAGGCCCAATGTTCAAAGATTTAAAAATAGACTTAGGCATAACATTTATAGCTGCTCCTAATCTAACATAGCCCTTTTAATTTCCATCTTACCTATTTTGCACGGGACTACAAACATACCTGGATCTCCGCACTTTTGTGGCAATTTCCTTTGCAGCACAGCGGACACAGTCTCTTCAGCTAGCACCTTTTCGTCCCCTCTCAACTTCTGCTTCTTAGTACACAACTCCTTCAGAAATTTAGCATAACGGGGGACTTGCTTAATTGCGTCAAGCAAAGGAATGCTTAGCTCCACTTTCTTAAACATCTCCATGATCACCTTATCTTTATCGCTTTTAGCCGATTTTGCTAACATGTGAGGAAATGAAGCAACATTAGCATTTGATTGAATAGGAGGATCAGAAATTACCTGATCAGTAGTCTTGTTCACTTCATGCTCAATCTCCTTCTCAATCTCCTCTTCAAAACTCTCTCTTTTTCAGTAATCACCTTCGAACCCTTCAGTTCTTTACCACTCCGCAAGATCATTGAACTAACATTGCTCGGGTTCATGTGGGTTTGAGCTGGCAGCTTGCCTTTTTCCTTTTCTTTCATCTCATGGACCTCTTTCACGACTTGAGACATCTGATCTTCCAAGTTCTTTATGCTTGTTCTCGTCTCTTGCTGAAATTGCAAAACATTAGAGGCAATTTTTTTCACCATATCATGCAAAGAGTTACCAGGAACGGGAGCTTGGTGCATAGTCCTTTGTTGCTGCTGCTGTGCTTGTGGTTGAAAAACCAGTGGTTGTGGTTGACCAAAGGATTGCTGATTCTGATTCCCATATCGAAAATTGGGGTGGTCTCGCCATCTCGGATTGTATGTGTTTGAATATGGATCATAGGCCCTTCTTGGTGCAAAACCTGCAACATTCACTTCCACTTCTTCTCTTAGTGTGGGACAAGCATCCGTGGGATGCTCAACACTCCCACAAATTCCACACGGATTCACTTGAGCATTACCTACAGCAAGTTTCCTCACAAAAGCAGTTAGCTTATTCAATTGTTGTTGCATAGGAGAACTTACCTCAACAGCTTCTTTCACTCCCACGACATCCCTCGGCCCAAATTGTTGAGAGTTCATGGCCATATCATTCAACAATTCCCAAGCTTCTCTCGGAGTCTTATTCATTAAAGCGCCTCCACTGGCAGCATCGATGATCCTCCTCTCAATAGAAGTTAGTCCTTCATAGAAATATTGGATTAAAAGTTGTTCAGAAATTTGATGTTGGGGACATCGAGCAATTCATTTATTGAATCTATCCCAATACCCGTATAAGGACTGCCCTGATGCTTGTTTGATGCCACAAATCTCTTTTCAAAAATTCGCAGCTTGGGATGCCGGAAAGAACTTCTCAAGAAATTTGCCGCTTCATATCCATCCATGTGATCGGCAAGTTAAACAACCAATCTTTAGCTGCATCCTTCAAAGAGAATGGAAAAGCCTGGAGCTTTATTTGATCCTCAGTGACTCTCGGAGGTTTCATACTCGTACATACCACATCGAATTCCTGCAAGTGCTTGTGTGGTTCCTCCCCTGCCAAGCCATGAAAAGACAACAATAAATGAATTAGTCCATAATTAAGTTCAAATGCCGTATTATCGGCTATAGCAGGAAAAGTAATACACAAAGGATGTTGAATTAAGTCGGAAGCAGCTAGCTCCCTCAAGGTTCTTTGTGTCATTGGATTTATCAAAACTTCTTCAACTTCCTTATGCTCTTCACCCTCGTCGGAACTAGAGCTATCCGCTAGTTGGATAGCAAAGTTAAGTCCCAGTGACTCAACTTCTTTCTCGGCCCTCTTTCGCTCTTTAGCTTCTTTCCGCAAACGACGTGCAGTTCTTTCAATCTCTGAATCAAAGATTAATTGACCTGTACGACTAGTTCGAGGCATAAACCATTAAGCAAAAATTATAGCTAAATAAATAAAAGAAACAACCAAATATCAAAAATCAAATTACTATTCCCCGGCAACGGCGCCAAAATTGCTAGCCTCGTCAAAGCTGCAAAATAAAGTATCAGTTCCTACACCACAAAAAAAACTTGCAAAATGTAGTAGTTCGATGAGTAGGGTCGTCTCCGCAGGGAACAATAATAATATTGAATATTCGGTTATCTAAAATTATACTATATACATATAATGGGGGGGGGGGGTTAAATTCATCATACTAAAATAAAAGAAAATAAATTCCCTTAACCAAATAAAATAAAATAAAATGCACGGTAGATTACCAAAGATGATTAAACTCTAGCATAGGCATGAATTTTTCATTCGGGATATGAAATTTGATCATCGACTAAAATTCAAATTCATCGACTAGTCGGATAAATTGGTTAAAGTTGATCTACACGTGTTCACAACCAACCTTTCCTTATTTTTTCGATAGCTAAGGTACGACCGTTAGCTATTTCTCTAATCGGGAAAGAATCCTAGGTACGACCGTAGTTTTCTAACTCGACAGCAGTAAAAACTAGAAAGGCCCAATTCAATTTAACAAGCTCCTACGAGGATTTGTCTAAAATTGATCTTAATTCTTCCCTAGAGTGTTCTTCTCTAGGTTGCTACGCCAATTGGAAAATTACACAATTACGTATACCAATCCCCAATATAGCCATGAAATCCTAAATTGATACGTGCGCAATAATCAATTCAAGATTTCTAAACTCATCAATTAGAAGAATTAAAAATACCAACATCGATGAACCCCAATTTTAATCGAAACCAAGTCTCACAATTTCAATCCCGAAAATCAATTCATACCTACACTAGAAATGAAACTACTCGCAATCCATAGCAATTAAAAATATAAAATAAATTAAAGAGTTCATCATGCCTTCAAGTTTAAAAATCGACAACAAACCAATTCTAGAAATGAAGAAAAAGGGTGCCCGGAAGTTCTTCTGCGTTGCTCTCCAAAGTTCCCCTTCCGTAGTGTTTTTCCTTCGCTTCTCTTCCCCTTCAGAAAAATGGATTGTAGCTGAGATCGTGGTAGTGAACGTAGTAGTCTCCTCTCTTCTCCTCTTCAATTGAAAATCGTGTCTCTTCAAGTCCACCTAAGATCCCCTTTGCACTTTAAACCAAACAATTGTAAAATTGCTAATTAACCCCGGAGGACCTTTTTGCAATTTTTATTTTTTTCTGCTCGTGATCACGCTTAAGGACTTCTTACGTTGTGCTTTTCTCTCCAATATGCCCAAAATTTGCCAACTCCTCAACGTCTAGTAGAAAGTTCAAAAACACATTATTAGGAGCATATATACAAAATTTGCATCCAAAAACCGTCTAAAATATAACAAAATATTTGTCTAATATCGCATATATCATAATTGGCAAATCTTCACAAGGGATATAGCATATGTTGTATTATCTAATGTGTATTGTATTAGTATTTGCTACTTCTTGTTATAGATTTTTTATGATTGTATTAAATTGCAATTGTGCTGAATTCATAATATAATTTTCCGAATTCAAGATATATTTTATTGTATGTAATTATATAATGTGCTATTTTAATATATGTTATATATTATATCAATATTTGCTATTATTTTATATAAATATTTGTTAATCGAATCAATCACTATGGTAACCGGAACAAGAAAAAGGTATATGTATTTGAACCAAACACCTTTTTTACAAGACAGCATGAAAGTGAGATTATTACCTGCTACCATACTGAAATGTTGAATCCTTGAAGCTTCATGTTCTACACGTCAAATTATTTAATTAGTATGCATAGAATATCATAATAAAGAATTATCAGACAGACGGATAGATTGACATGCACTGCTTTGCAATTTGCATTACACCTCATCAATAACTTAACGTAACCATGTTGCTTTCTACTTCTTTATTTTTCATTTTTAAATTTCTACACCCTAAAGAGTCCAAGATAAATGTAATCCGAATATATTTTATAAGGCCAATATATAAGGTTTGTTTACTTCACCTTTATTTATTTATTTTTTGTGTTTTAGCTTTATAAATATTATAACTATTGTATATCAGTTGATAGAAAAAATGATATATTTTTATCGGTAATTGTAAAACTGTATAGTAAATAAATTGAATGTACATAACATCTATTTTTTATTTTTTTTTAATAAAATTTTATTATATTAACATAAAATTTATGTTGAATACTCATTTTGTCCAGTCTATTATACATATACGT